GCTTTTCGCACAGAATAATAACAAAAAGAACAATACAAATGCAGAAGGATATATACCTGTGTTTTATAGATTATGCATTTGATTAGTTATGACATAATGAACGGGGATCTGCTAGGTAAGCTTGATTTATTTGGGTAAGATATTATAATCTAGTACTTATATTGAGAGAGGACCACTTGCATACGGATAGAAAATGAATTCAGTAAATACGCGCGTCTTTTCACTGGACTTATTTAATCTTTACACAGAGGCAATCCTGAAAGAACTAGAAGTCCTACAAGGATTTATTATTAGCGACCACAATATGCAGATGACAATGATGATAGCAGAAAAACTCTCAATGGTCAGAGATTGGCGACTGATCTCTCTTTCGATCTTGCACAAACTACCCAATGGGGGTAAAAACTAGCTGGTTACATTCAATGTCTCGAAGACCAAGCTAGTTACGTAGCCGATCTGACCGCGATATACCAGCAATCAGCACGGGGAAGTACCGTGCCTTAAAAGACTGAAAACTCACACCCGACCTCAGGTGGAACTCGACCAGGCAAAATGGTCGGCTCCTTATATCGCTCCAGCAAGTACTTGACTCCTGCTGCTATCCTCTACCTTTACAAAAGCCAGATCAAGCCAAAAAATGGAGTACTGTTGTCATATTTAGGTGGGAGCTGCCAAGACCTCACCATCCAGACTTGAGTCCAAGAGCATCTCCGAGCCCTTGTGGGTGGCGAATTATTTAACTTCTCTCCCACAGGCGGGATGTGGCAAGTCCTCCGCTGCTCTACCGCTACTTACACGTACGATCTACAGTCTTTGATCCCGCCAAGTTAAACATTTACGGCAAGAACACACCACACCACTTACATAGTAGCAAACCATCCACATTCTCTCCATATTCCATCGGTGAGGAGTAAGTTCTACTCGAGCAGCTTCTTCCCGCTAACCACTGCCCTATGACAATCGACTACCAAAATGATGTTCCCCTGATCACTACAATCTTAACTTGTTCAAGGCTAGGGTTAAGTCTTCCACTCCTAGACGCACAAACGACCTCCTAACATAACCCTCTACCGCGAGTACACCCCTCGGGCCTTGTAAAAGATGAATCTTACTGTAAAAAAAAAGACAAAGAAAGGAAACGACAGGATCCCCTAGAGAAGATGAACATGAAAGAAGGAAAACGAGAAGAAAAGACATCAATTTTGTAAGACGACAGAAGTGTTTTAACAGAGGACGGAAAATGTGACATCGAAACCAGAATCTGCATTGGGACAACGAAAGTTGTCTTCCAAAAGCTAAGCAAAGTATTAAGAAACAGGAAAATTTCGTTAGAAACAAGGAAAATAGTCAGTCTGTTATGTGCCATACTTGTTACACGCTTAGGCATCTTTCAATACATGACTGACAAGGCAGATTTTTTTCCCGTAGTAGGTTGCCATTTCTTTCTCCGGTAGACCGATTGCCATCCAAGGTTATAGAACCCGGACTGTCCTGCTACTTACCCATAGCTAGCGGGAGAGAAAAAGAGGATTCATACCTTTCCCAAGGGTATTAGCACGTAAGTGAATGTAATGAATTCGACTGGAATTCGAACTCGACTCTCCGATTCCTCAATCCAAGCCGCTATCCATTGCTCCACTGTTAAGAGTACTTAATTGTTATGTAAGATCAATTGTTTTATATGACAGTGAACGCTGGACAATCTACTGACAGATGAATAAGAAACTTGAGGTGACAGAAATGTAGTTCTACAGAAGGATGCTGAGAATACTACGGACATGTGAGTAACGAGGAAGTTTTAAATACGTAGAAAGAGAAATAGGCAGTTGGAATTCCTAGGACACATAACGAAAAAAAGTCTTGGAGAATTTACCCTAACTGGAAGGCAAGAGGGACAGTGGAAAATAAGCGAGTAACCTCCTTAACAAGGGTGTGTAAAAAACGGATGGTAGATCAAGAAGTGGGAGTGATGGTGAAAAGATAAACCTTATTAAGAGCTACAAAAGATAGGAAGCTGTGGATAGCCACCATCGCTCACGTCCTGAAGGTATATGACACATACAAGAATATTTTATTTTATCTAATATTGAACAACTACAAAAAAAATAAAATAAAAAAATAAAATTCATGACTGCAAGAATTTTTATTACTTTTTAAATTTCAAATAAAAAATAAAGCAAATAGACAAGGTAAATTAGTAAAATAATTGATGTAAAAGTAAAGAAACAAAAACGAAAAAGAAAGAAAAATGCAGGTGTTTCACAGAATTTTACCAGGATTATGCTTCCAATAATTTCCAGGTGTTTTTGGCTTCCTTCCCACTTACGTAACATTTTGACTTTTCCCCTAGTTAAAGCATGATAAATGATTCTGAGTAGAAGTCATTAAGAGAAAAGCTACACTGAATATGAATCTAAGCATGAAGGAAAAGAAAAAAAGGAAAGAAATTTAGAGTGGCATTTAGAGCGGCGTTAGTAATTAATGATAGTTACAATAAAAATATAGTGAATAAATCAAACAAAAACAGAGAAAATAACTAGAAATTGAAACAAATAATAACTAAATAAAATGAATACATATTTTTTAAAATAAATAATTTATCACGCCAAATATTGCTGATTTTATTTTTTTTTTCCCGTTTTAACTTCAGTTTGAAAGAAAAATAAAATGATAGATACAATCATAGAAAAATTAAAGAAAGATCATATTTGGCATTATTAGATAAATTACTAATTATCGAATAAAAAATAAAATAAATTACTATAAAAAAATCATCATCACCACCACCTCACCCATGACTGGGTGTGGGTGTAAGATAAGCGGCACCGTTGAACTTCAGAACAATCTTGGTACGTATTCATTCATATGTAGCGTGTTTGGACAAAGTAGACCTGACGGAGCCCATCCCATACTAGATCTAAAATAAATTGCTTATCATAAAAAAATTATTGGAAGTTTTCTGTTAGAATTCAAAACTGCAATTTATTTACACTTTTACAAAGTTTTTGCATGTAAAAAAATGTGTATTGACTTTCTTTCTATGGATGTACCTTTTCATGGCAAACAGTCTTCTTATTTGAAATGTTCGTAGAGATGGGCATGCATCTGATATAGAGAAAGTTCATACACTTTTTACCTTTTAGAATTTAGATTCACAATTTACAATAGAAAAGGAAATACAAACTCATTGACTTACAGAAGGTGGCCCGTAGCTCACATGTTGATGAGTATATTTTGATCTCTAGTCAGCTTTTGTCTCTTTGGGTAAAGAAGGGAGTTGCTTCGTGTAGTTGTGTAAAAGTTAAAACGGTTTGATATTTTTGAATCGATTGAGTATGATGACCTGTTGCAAAGTCTTACTCTTAATGTTTTCAGGACAGACAAATTAGAAAGTTTTTGAATTTACTCAAACCAACAACGACTAGTTGAAAATTATTTTCTTGTTTCGAACTGTGTTGTTTTATTTTATTACGCCCGCAATTTTTAAAATATCTTATTTTAGATTTTATTTTTAATTTAGTGAGTTCACTTGAGGGAGGAGTAAGTTTTTTTTTTAGACAACCTTCCAAGTGGATTGGAAGCAACAACTATCAACAGCCGCACAACTAAAATGGATAGCATTCGAAGAGAAAATAAATGATACTCAAGATTTTAACGTTCCACACTACTTCCAAAAAGGTTAGGAAGGAAACTCCCATCAATACTGGAAAGAGCGAAAATCTACTGGACTTGAGAAAACTATTTTTCTGAAAAAAAATGTTTTATGAGAAAGATTTTATAAATTTCACCCGATAGCGGCACTGGTTGCTCGGTTAATGAATGCTAAAAAATGTTTCCATGTAGGGAAACAGACGCTAATAATTTACCATTGCCATTTCCCTAGAGACTCCCTACCACCTTGATGTAGAGACTTTTTTGTGTAGCTTTTTGACATGACACTGAAGTAAAAATCTTAACACTCCTGCTAAGCTAAAATTATTTAATTTTGAATAGAACACTAACAAGCTTCCCATGTTCACAAACATTTCTTTTATTTTTGAATAACTTTTTTTTTAAGTTGAACTTGGAAAAAAAGAAAATTGATTTTTTAAAATAATCCTAATTTTTATTCATGCCGAAGTTGTTTTTTTAAAAAAAAAAAAAAAAATTAAGTGTGTGATTGTCCCCCCAAAAAACTATCTGGAAAGACAATGCATGGTCATTTTTGGCGTTATCACAAAAAGAGCACCGTAAAATTATATATATATATTTTGGATATTATTGCATTTTTAATTACCATGCAGGCAACAATGCGTCCGGTGTCTTCATCTGGGACATGTAAAAATAAAATTCAATATTTGCCACATTATTAAATTAGAATTTCCTTTTTATAAAATTAAGTGAAGTCATAATTTTCTTCCATAGATTTTTCTATTTCATCAACTTTACCTACCTAGATTTTCTTACTTCCACAATAATACAATCAATAATCAAACTTTCTTCACGACCAACTTTCAGGAGAAAGTTCTTATTGTGTTTTAGTTTTCTAATTTTGTTATAGTGAAAAATAAAATGTTGCTTAAAAGAGCGAAAAGAAAGCGGCAACATGCTTAGTTTTTAGTCTACTTTAAATACTTCGTATTAATTTAAAAAATCATTGGCGCATTTTAATCATTTAGTAGATAATAAAATAAATTTTATTTCAAACTATATTGTGAAAATAAAAAATTATGAGAAAAAACCGGAAAAGTTAACTGTTCATTAACTTAAGCAAAATTATAAAAGGTAACTTCTAGGAGTTCTCAGAATATAATTGAAAGATTTGTAAATAGCGAGAAGAAAGTACATAGAGGCAACAAACATGTGTAAGTAAGAAGTTTTCTAAGAAAAAGTAGAAGCAAGCGTTGGAAACAGGTGGATGGAAAGAAAAGTGCTACGAACGAATGAGTTTCGTTGACCAATCAGCTGTCGTTCTGTATAAACAACCACTTCCGGGTGATGGCAGTCGATCATGAAGGAAGATGGCGGAAAGTTTGAGAAAGCAACTTGGATTACTGACAATATTATATCTTCTCGTGATCAGCACCAAAGCACGTAAGTTACTAGATCTTTATATCAAAAGAAATTCCGCTTAAATCGATATGTTTAGGGCTGGAATGTCTTTTCTTCCATGGTATATAGCTTTGACATTTGTTATCTACTGAATACCGCTACTGTTGTTTATTGTATAACACGGACAATTGCTATAAAATGAGTGACTAAATTATTATGTTGATTCTATTAAAAACTGGTCACCCACTTTTTATATCAGTAATTTGTTTGAGTGTGTCAGTATTACTACCAACATTTAGGTGTGTGTGTGTGTGTGCAACTTTTATATTCAGGGTTTGAAGACAGGAAAAGTTTGCATTTTGTCATTAAATTGATGTTTAATATTTTTTTTAAAACTTTGCAACAAAATCTGATACGCAAAAGTATGTTAATAATAATGTTTTTGTTTTTTTTGTGTGTGTGAGGGGAGGGGAATAAAAGTTACATATGTCCACACACCAAAATGGTCATTTAAATGATTATTGGCAAGGTGTGGCGAGATTAGTTTTTCTTTTTTTTAAGTTTTTAATATTTGAACATTTCTTCCCAACTGATAACATATGCTGCAAATTTTTTAATTGTTACTAAAAATTGATCAGTGAAAAATATTAGGTCTTCAAAATTCTACTTAAAAATAATAGAAACCGCGCAAAAGTCTTCTTTGTGTGCGTTCGATTACCTTATTTTTTTTTTTTTTTTACCTGTTCGTATTTAAAAAAGAAAAAACTGAAATAAGAAAAAGATTTATGCTTATTGTCTATTTTTTCTTTAATGTATTTCGATTATTTTTTTTTCTTTTAAACTTTCCTTCTTAACTTAAAACAAGATTAAAAATAAATATATTCACCATTCAACAATATTTTGTTTGAATTTTGTTCAAGTGCTTATCATGTTTTGCAAAGAAATCCGATTTAAATGCAAATCAATAAGTAAAATACTTTTTGGAATTACTTTTTAAATTATTAAAAAAAAATTTTAAAATATTTATTTTGAATTGGAGTAATTTCTTACTTATCAACATTGCCCATTAATCAAATGACAAAAATAATAACAAAATATGCCGGTCACCAGGTAATTTCATTAAAATAAATAATGGGTACTATTTAAACTTAAACTGATTTAAAACAGTGCCGTCATCGAATTCATTTATTATTAATTCCAGGCCCTATTACATATTTAAGAAGATCCTCTTATTTAGATTCTCATTTTATTTTTATTGTCATAGTATGTTATTTTTAAACATTATTTTATTCATAATAATAATAGTGGATTCCTCAGTCTTAAATTTATATATAGCCTACCTTGTATTTTTAAATTTATTGGTAATAATAAATAATATATCCAAAATTGAGTGATCTATTGTTAGAAATCTAGCATGTACTTTTTTTTACGGTTGCTATCGCACGAGTCTCCGCTTAGATGGACGGGAAACACAGAGAGTATAGGAAACAACTGCATGATTTGTTTTTTCTTAATTATTTAAAGGATTTCGTTATTAATTGTTTACAATAGCCATTTTTATATCTTGATTTCTCCCCAAATAGTTGTGATGAAGTAGTTTTGTCAGTGTCATCATGCTAAACAAAGTGGTTATAAAATGAGGGACCGACAACTATTTTGGATTCACCGATTCAGGAAGCAGGTCACTGTTTTTTTGTGACCACCTTATCATTTCTTCTGTCCTCTGTTCATTCACTTCAACGAGTTTTACTACCTGTGTTTAAATTTTAAAAAATATATCTTGTTTTAAACAGACATCGTGACACTAAGTCGATACTGGACTTGTAAAACGGCTGTTTATAACATATTTCTATCATTCATTTCATTATTTATTATAAATAATATACTTGTTTCCGATTTTTGGTTAAATTACATTATTATTCGTTTGTTGCATGTAATAATAGATAGCTGCATTATTTGTTTCTCTGCTGGTGGGTCCTAATATTTGCACGATTAAAAAAATATTCGCAAAGAAAAAATCAACTAGACAAAGCTTTTTTTTTTTTTTTTTTAATAAATAAAACAATTCATTTGTAGATTTTATTTATGATAGGTTATACACGGTGTATATTGGATTACAGGGGTTTATCACTATTTTCACGTTTTGTGTGTTCATGACAGTACTATGGCGGGGAACTCGATTTTGCCTACCCTTAAGTTTTTAAAGACTGTTTTTTAGTGTTTAATAACAATACAGCTCTTTGAACAGCTCTAATCAAAACTGAAGATTTTTTTATATTTTTATTCTAACCAAATTTTATTACGCACACTTTTTTTTTTTTTATCTGATTCTATTTTTATTTGCATAAATGGTTCAACTGCTTAGTTGCGCCTTAAATCTTGATGTCCTTTCTATGCAGGCGAGGACAATGTGCTTTGTGGTTTGAAGTGAAATGTTGTTAGAGTTTTTTTTTTATTAATTAACTGCTATTCTATTTAGGGCAAATGTAGCTCTAGCAACACTGTATTCAGCCTTGTTTGATGATTTTAGATAGGTAATCTAAGTCATCAACACTAAAACATTTTGGATATTAAACACAACCCAGTCTTTAGTGATTGATGCGAGAACAATCGCCAAACTAAGCACATCTTGAAAAGATCGCAATCTTATTTATTTTTTAACTCTCTTGAACGAAAACGTATGAGACTCTTTCAAAAGAGTAGGCACCTGTGAAACATTGACCTGTTAAATCATTTGAAAATTCTTGCTTGTCGTCTTTCCTATGATTTGACTGACTTGATCGTAAACAATGAAGTTTTTATTCAACTGACTTGAAGGAAAACAGCACACACGTGTATTGTGTATAAAACTTGCATACCTAAGATTCAATGAATATACCCTGTTTTTAAATGTTAAAGCTTATTAACTATAAAAAATGGAATAAATCTTTCGTTTTCAGTTATTGTAATTTGGAATAATTAAAGAAAATTAAATGACCTTTTAAAATGAATTAAAAGATAAGTGCTTCAATCAGATCCTATATTTTTGTACTCTTCTTACTTAAACTAAACATTTATTTAAAACAATGATAATGTCATGCAGACATCTTGCATTATTTTGCTCTCCCTTTTACCAGGTTTTAGTTAATTAACCCTTGGGATCATCTAAAAACTATAAGTAACTCTAATTTTGCGAAAAACCTTATTTTATGCAAAATAAAAATCTTCATAAATTTGTCATTTACAAATATTAAGTTTTTAGAAGTTTTCAAATCCGACTTCTTACACCTTTCATTTGCAAAAGAAAGAGAAGCAATAATAAATGAAATTACAAGAAAAAAAAAAAACAAAAACAAAAAAACAACTCGCTCCAATCATTATATGTTCGTTATGATTTTTAACATTCAACCGATATTACTGCAAAATTCGTCATACTTTTTGTTTTCATGTTCTTGAACTTGAGATAATATACCACTTTTAATTGCAAAAATAAATGCGAATAACGTCGCATTTTTAACTACATTGATGACAATGACAAAGGAGGCGCTTTTTGTTTTAAAGGATTTGATAAAATATTACAGCACCAATTTTCTGCTACAGCTTTATGATAATGTTTCTGACACCAGAAGCTAATAATTGGAATAGTCGATATTGATTGATCGATCGATCGATCACCCAGTAAAGTGATCATTGGTTGTTATATTTTATGTACACACATTATGCATCTGATCATAGATTTTTCTTCTTCTCATTTTTTATTGAATTAATAAAATATAATTTTTTTTTAACTCGGAAAAAAAAAAACTTTAAAAAGTTTAATTGTGCAGTTTACTTTATTCAGGTATTTGTATTCTGAAATTTAGAAAATATGCAACTTTTGATTACAGTTCTAATTTTATTGTGTGCCAAAAAATCTGCAATTCAATTTTAAATCAATGCGTATTTTTTTCTTTTTTAAAACAAGTTTGAGATTAATAATGCTTCTTGTTGCATACCAGGTTGTTGAATTTTGGTCAATAAAGAAAGTTCATTTGCCTACAATTATTAAGGAAAAATAATTTAGCGGTCCTGGTCAAAGTTAAGTTTTTTTGTTTCAGTTCTTTTTTGCCCAATAATGAAATATAAAACTCAGTTTATTACAAGTTTTTTCCCCCAACGTGTTGGATTCAGCATTTGTTGTTTTTTTGTTTGTTTTTTTTAAAAAAAATCGATTTTTTTTTTTTTTTTAAGTTTCAAAAAAATAGTTCAGCTGTGAAACTGTTTTTCTTTAGTCACAAGTTTCTTTTCGTACAGTTTTCGATTTCAATTGCAATTCATGTTTGTCTTTGATGGGTTAAAGAAAGTCTTGCATTCTTTTCTAATTATACAAATTATTAATTGGATTGTATTTTTAAATTTAAGAATAAGATCTTATTCACTAATCATTTTAAATTGTTACTATTACTCTTTGTTAACATGTCCCTGCTTTTTTTTTTCAATTTTAATTTTGTTATAATTTTGACTTCGTATCTACCTATTTTTCAATTTGAGATTCAGCTCTTGTCTTCCTAAGCCAAGATCTTTCTGAAATTTATTTTTTTGTGAATGACACCTTTTTTTACAAGGTCCCTAATCTGAAATTTATTTTTGAAAATTCCTGTTTGTTTCAAACTATTGTTTAAGATTTTATTTTTCTGCTATATTTATTTGGGGAAAGTGCTCACTGTCGGAGATAGTATTTGTCGATACATTCATAAAGTTAAACTAAATCTAATAAAACAGATGGTCTATGATTGCTTAAGGCATAAAACTCAGTCACCATGCAAATTGTTTTTGGTTTTTTTGGTGATCATAAACATCTTGAAAATAAATTTGGCAGCTATTTTGTTTGCTTTTCTAGTGTCAAAAATACATATTTCTTTCACATCATTTACTCATTACTTTCATAATCTTCCTGAAAACGTTTCTTAAAAATATTTTTTTTCTGTTGAAGGAAAAACTATTTCAAATTTTACTTTATTTCTGTTGTTGGGGGATGATGCATAAATATTTTAATTTTTAATGAATAAAGATGGAATTTATAA